AGCCCGGGTCCCCGCGCCCCGAGGGGTGCCGGCCCGCAGCCGGCCCACCAGGTGAGGCTGGCGCTGATCCCCCGAGGCGGGGGGCGGATCAGGGGCCGTACAAATCCCGCGGAGAGCCCTCCCGGGGCCACGGGCCCTGATCCTGGAGGGAGAGCCCGAGGGCTGCCCGAGTGGTGGGAAAACGGGAGAGGGGCGCGGGCTGTCGGGGTGGGGGAAGGACCCGGGGCCGCTCCTAAACGTCGGTGTCTCCATTGCCAGTGACCCCGAGGGGCCTGCACTTCCCCTGTGTCATCTACATCTGGGCGCCTCTGGCCGGGGCCTGCGCGGTGCTTCTCCTGTCTCTGATCATCACAGTCATCTGCATCCACAGTAAGTCCGAGGGAATCGCGGGGGGAGCGGTCCTCTCCGCTCCCGCCCCGTTGCGCAGCGTGCCCCCGGCAACCCTTACGCGGTGATGGGGTCGAGATTTCAGGGGCCCCCGAGCCGCACCGCAGTGCCAGGCACAGCCTGTTTCTTCCTGGAGGTGGGACGCGGGCGAGCCCCTTCGCGCCCCCCTTCCACTCCCCAGCAAGTTCTTGAAATGGAAGACGGATCCCTCCCTGTCCCTGCGCGGCAGGTAGTGAGTGCACGGGGCCCGCAGGACTGCAACCGCCCGTGGGGGTGGGGGGGTCGTCTCTGGGGTCCAGGGACCAGTGCCCACAAGGGCTGGGTCAAAACCACCAAGGGTTGAAGTTTATCCTTTGGTTCCCACGCAGGTGAACCACATCTTTATCTGAAATGTTTTAGGGGTTTTGGTATGTTTGCTCTTGTTTTTGTTGTTTTAATTGATGCAAAGAGGAATGGAAAAGAAGCCCTCACCTGGGCTCTGAGAGTTATAAACCTAAAGAAAAAGGAGAAGGGAAGAAACCATATTTGGGGACTATTGGGGAGCAGCCACTCTACCCCTTCTTTTTCCTTAATCTAGGGAACCGAAGACGCGTTTGCAAATGTCCCAGGTGAGTCTGTTATAACTGTTGGGTCTGCTAACCCCCTGGGCAGCCCTGGGCTCAGGTTCTAGCTTCCTGAGCAGCAGGCAATGGGAACATTTCCAAGAGGCCATGGCAGTGGGGTCCTGGGGACCGGGAGTCAGCATAGCGCCTGAGCAGAGGCAGAAGGCTGGCAACTGGAGAAAACGGAGGCCCAGGTTGGGCAGATGGGGGAGAAATGTGACTTCAGTAAATCTACATCTTATTTGGCCTAGCCCCAAACAACAAAAAACCCAAACCCATCTGAAGGATTCCCCCAGTTTACTCTAGCTCCACAAAAGGCCTGAGGTCTCTTTATCTGGATGATTTCAGCTGGGTTTTGCTTTTTTCTTAAGAAAGCTCCCCTCCTCTTCCTCTATGTAGTTTTTTGAGAGAGCCCATCTTTTATCACCTGAACCAAATAAATAATGGCCTTCGTTCCTAATTTCCCTGTGTCAGTGCAGGGCCTTGATTGGCTGCCCAGAACTGGAGTGAAAGAAAGGGGGGACCAGAGGCAGCTATTGGGCAGCTCAAGTGACTACCCCATCCAGTTTCAGCCCAGGATCATTCTGAAATGATCATAAAAAGAACAAGGCGTCAGTCTCTTCTCTCCTTCTCGCTGAGGCCGAGGCAGCCCTGTGCTAATATCTAACAGGCATCCACTCTAGCCCTGCACTATGCCGTGGGTTACACGCAGGATCTCTCTCATTCTCACAGCAACCCCACGTGATGGACATTGTGGTCCCATCTCACAGATCACTCACTCGGAGATTAGAAAACCTACCCAAGGTGGCAGAGACATGTTTACACTCAGATTATCAATAATAATAGCCACCATTTGATGAAAGCCTATCATGTACCAGTTACTTGCCATATAAATATATATGCATATTTTAAATTTCATAACAACTTTTAAAGCAGTTACCATGACCATTATTTTACTGGGGCTTAGCACATGTAGTGGCTTGTTCAAGGCCATAATGCCAGTGAGTAGCAGAGCTGTGGCTTCTGTCCAAAGCTCAGGCTCTTCCCTATGGTTGGGGGCTAAGAGAGGAGGGGGTTCAGGAAAGCCACCTACATTCACCCGTTCCTTTCAGTAGATGAAAACATTTCAAATTTTATACCTGGGTTTGCATTTCACACTCCTTGATATTTCTCTGCAGGGATCCAAGTTCAGCGTCTTACACATCATTATTTTTAACAATGGAAATGTAATAAATTCTCAATGCATAGGTGATACACTAAGAGAATACAGACTTTAAAAACAGAAGGATTTTTAGCAATTTTAATACTTGGGGTGCAGCTGGGAGCTTTTGGAATCTTTTCTGAAAATTCTCATTTTGAAATGAATAACAGAATAAAACTCGGCCCCGAAATACAAAGCTGTGCAAATGAAACACGTCTGAGGAACCCACACACTGGAGCTAACACACTCGGTGATGATCGAGGGCAGCTCAGCTTCAGCAGAGAGGTTGTGGAGCACAGTGTGTATAGACGCTCATGACAAATGAGCTCACTTAGGAGGCGCTAGCCCGGTACTGAATTAGCACACGTTTCTAGTGTGGCCACCAAGGGGACTTTAAATAGTCACTCTCCTTGGCCGATGGCTGTAGCTTGCTCACACCCTCCGGGGGTTGAGGGTCAGGTCAGCAGGTGATTTATCAGCCTACTTCTCTCACCTCCACGGGCACCTTGACACAGGTCCTGGGTTCAGATCCTGACTCCACCACCTCCTAGTTACGTGACTTTGGGCATGTTCTCTAGCCTCTCGTGACCAATGCCTGCGCCTCAGGTTGCTGAGGATTAAACTAGATGGTACAAGTAAGGCACTTGGCAGGCTGCTGAGGTCCCTCAGTCAGTGCTGTGCTGGTGTCTCAGGGGCAGGTCCGCAGACCCGCACAAGGCTAGGAGGCTGGGGAGGCGGGTAGACATGGATGGATGCTGCACTGCAGGGGCCCTTGCAACGATGGCTGTCTCTCTTTCAGGCCCCTGGTCAGGCCCGGAGTTAAGCCCAGCCCTGCAGAGAGATACGTCTAACATGGCGACAGGCCCTGCACAGCAGCCACTACAAGACTTACAACTGAGAACTTGCCTTACAAGGAGAGTGGCAGTCCTTCCCTCTTGGTTTTTTCAGTCTTCCATCTCTATATATTCATTCTCATTATTATTTTCGTTGGGAGGGGTGTGTGAAAGGGTTACTTTGTCTTTGACACAAAACAAAACTGTACGTCTATGGCACTGTAAGGGTTGCGATACCATGTGCACACATATTGGAGAAAAGACCAGCTGTGTCCTCAGAGCCAGGCGGTTAGAGCTGGTGGGGGCCTCACCACCACTTGGTCCAAACCTCTTCCCTGGCCATTTTTCAGAGGAGGCGGCTGAAGTCCAGAGATGGGGAGAGGCTCGATCAGAGTCACAGCTGGGCTGGGCTCTTCCTCTGCACCACTCAGATCTCCTTCTGGAGGCCTCTGTCTCAGCGCGGGGTTCTGTGTCTCAAGCCGCAAGGGAACCAGGTTGCGGACTTGATTCCCAGTGGGGGCAGGGGGCATGCAGGAGGCAGCCGATCGATGTTTTTCTCTCATTGATGTTTCTATCTCTCTATCCTACTCCCTTCCTCTCCCTCTCTAAAAATCAATAAAAACTTACTTAACAAACAAGTATCAGAATTTTTTACAATCAAGCGTGAAATTGTATAGATAGTAGGAATTCCTCAAATGAAGTGGAAGGGGTGAACTGAATCCTGGAAAATGAGTAACTCGATCTCTAAAGAAAATCACTGTGAAATCCATAAATGGAGGCAAAATTGCTCTTCCAGCCCTTCATTGCAGAGGGACCCACAAAAGACCCCTTTACCAGTAAGACTTGAGCATCAGTGAAGTTGAATGGAGATCCTCTTGAATGTCTGAACTTCAGATGCCATATTCGAACATGGCCCTGGGATCATTGGTGATTCTTAGTTTGTAAAGACAAACTGTTAGAGAGCTGCCAGCAGCACCCCTGGCCTCCCCAGGATCATGTGAGGATGTGGCAGAACAGACTCTGTCCTGGTGAGGAAGTGCCTGAACTATTGCCCAACACGTGCATTTCCTCTCTTACAGTGTTGTACAAGAAATGTGTGCTTACTGGAAGAAAAACCTTAAATAGACAAGGAAATAAGAATCATCCATGATTCTTTACCTCTGGTATAATCCATTGTTAATATTATGATACACTTCTTCTGATTATTTTCTATGCATATATGTAAAATNCAAGGAAATAAGAATCATCCATGATTCTTTACCTCTGGTATAATCCATTGTTAATATTATGATATACTTCTTCTGATTATTTTCTATGCATATATGTAAAATATATATACTTCGCTTTTTAAAAAATAAAATGGGATTGCACTATGCTTTCTATAAGTGGCTTTAATAAACAAACATTTACAGCATACCTTTCCTTGGCAAAATAACATTCCAGTTTTGGTTGTGCCATCATTTAACTATTACACACCATTTGTTTCCAATTTTTTACTATGACACTGCTAAAAATTTATACACACCTTTGTTTCTTTAAGATAAATACCCAAAAGTAAAATTATTGAGTCAGTCCACACTTTTACCTTAGACTCCCCATTTTCACAAATGAGGCCTGGCCAGGTGGCTCAGCTGGGTGGAGCATTGTCCCATCTAGCAAAAGGTTGAGGGTTCAATTCCTGGTCAGGGCATATACCTAGGCTGTGGGTTTGATCCTGGGTCAGGGAGCATATGGGAGACAACAGATTGATGTTTCTCTCTCTCCCCCTACTGCTTCCTCTCTCTCTAAAATAAAAAAAAAAACATGTCCTCGGGTGAGGATTTTAAAAAAGTAGCCTCTTTTCCATCACCTTCTTCTCTTTTGTTCTTCCTTGGAAACAGGTGAGCTGATACTCCTTAAAATCACAAAATCTTCATTCTTTTTGTTGAGGTAAAGGGTACGTACGGAAAAATGAACCAATTATAAGTGCACAGCTCCAAGACACCATTCACTGAGTGCGCTCAGCCAGTACCAGGTCAAAGCCAGAGCTCTTCCTGCCCTCCAGAAACCGCCTTCCACAACCTTCATTTGTAAAACCCAAATACTTTCACAGAACAGAGAGCAAAAGGCGGCTACAAAGTCAAGTATGATTTTTTCATACCCCCTAAAAAAGGGTTTCACTTACCATAAATAAAATGGCAAACAAGAATTTGAAGATTAAAAATATAGGGTGGCTTTCAGGACTGGGGAGAAAACAGAAAATGAATCTGCAGGCCATGAGACCTAAAGCATGCTAAGATACCCACGACACATTTTTTGGACCCTGAAAAACAGGAAGTAGAGAAATGACTCTCTATGATGCCATAAGCTTGGTACCAGTTAGCTGAAATCCAGCCTCAATGTGGTTGGTTCATTTAACAAATTCATTTAACAAAAACATATCATCCTATTTGTGTAAGAAATAAAACAGACAAATTTGTAATTTCTTTCTCTGGCAGTAAACTGCTCTTAAGAGAGGCCGACTTACACTTCGAAATCGCCTGTGTTCTTCAACCACAGGGTCAAAATAGGTCTCCCTTTTCTACCAGCAGGAAGCTACCCCTCCCTCCTGCCCTCTGTCCCTGTACAAATCCGTCCCTGTACCCAATTTTATGACCACCCGGGGTAGACATCACTAAACCCGCTCCTAAACGCTGTTTCTCCACCAAAGGAAACTAGAGGAGGCCTTGACTGCCTTAGATTAGGTTAAATGTAGAGACTCTGACATCAGCTTCCAAGCTGTTATGAACTGTGTCCTCTAGAGGGCAAGTGACCTAATGCCTTGATAGCTTAGTTTCTCCACTTGTAAATGGGCGTAATAATATTCCCTACCTCTAACAGTTAGTGGGAAGAATATGTGAGCTTTATATGCATTTTTTAAAGTGCTTAATTAAAATAGCTCCTGGAACATAGTAACAAGTAATGCTGAATAAATGAACATGTACCAAATTTTTCAAAACCAGTGTTGTACCAGTTACACTGAATGTCTGATTCTTCCCATTTTTATTCTCAAAAAGGGGTACAAGGTAATCAGTACCAAAGGAGACCCAGGGACCTCAGTGTCCTCAAGCATGGGAGAACCACCCTTCACACGCCTCATAAAAGACACAGCCTCTGCGCTGTCCTGTGAAGCTCCCCTCAGCCTGGCACCCTGAGTGTCACCACCACCTGCACTGTTGCTGGCTGTGCCTGTCTGCGGCACAAGAGGGCTCTACCATAGTTCAGCAGTTGGAGAAGGCTGGCAGAGCAGGAAAACCATGTGCTCTACCATCCTGCCACCTCAGTCCCCATCCCTTCAGGCATATCCCACCTTTGCATATCAGTTACTAATTCCTTTTTTCTGCTCTCCCTTAGCTCGTCGTGATCTTCAGATGTGACGTCTTATTGACTCAGTAACAGCTATCAGCTAGCTATGTAGCATTCACCATGGGCCAGGTGAATCGTTTAGGCCTAGTCAAAATTATGAGGTAGGAATTATTCTACTTGACAGATGAGGAAACTTAGGCATAGGAAGTTTCTATCACTTGCCCAACATCACACAACTAGAATCTGGTGGCATCAGGGATTGAACTCAGGTCTAATCCTGTTGACGAAAGAACATCCAGCCTAAGAAGTCTTAGAAGAGTTTATTTGAACCAAACTGAAGACAATTGCTGAGACACAAAATCCCAACGGATTGAGAAAATGCTCCAGAGAATGGCAGCTGTGCAGCTTATTTTATACATTAGAATCAAAGGAGATGTGCAGAGGGTTACATGAAAGTCATTGGTGGTCGATTAGGGTGGCGGGAGAAAGCAAGGCAGGGAAACCTCTGAGACTGGGCAGAGAGTAAACGGAGACACACACATACTTCTTTTACACTGGCAGGCACAGGATAGTTAACATTTACAGCACATAGAGATGGGATGCGGGCAACAAGGTAACAACATGGTCTCGGGGCAGTTGTGCCTACGAGGGGACTGGAAAAGAAAATTACTCTGACATTTCAAAGGTATGTTATCTTAGATGCACAAAGACAATAGACAACTTCAAAGGTAAAGACTGACCTTTGACAAGAAAGCTGTAGGCCTAGGATGTGACTTCCCACCATGACCTGCTTTTAGGAATTTCATGTTCAGACCACCTGTGTGGTTACTTTTGGTCTCTGGGTTTATAAGGCCTGCGGTGCGGTCTTCCCTGAGCTTGTCAGGTTTAATATGTGATCCCTTTTCCACCCACAGTCCCATAGACCAAATTCTATATTATTTCCAATATAGCTTTGCCATATTGAGTATTTTATAGTCTGCTTTTAATTTTTAAAATTAGGTGAAAACATTTTAAAAATCTGCAAGTACCTCAAAACCAAGGATACTTTTAACCTATGCAACCCAGATAGAAAACAAAGGTCGCCACCTGCTGTGAATTCAGACAAATGGGAAGGAGTATGTTCTAGAGCAAGAGTAGAGCAGGGGTCCTGTGTGAAGTTAGGCCAAGGCACTGCTTCTAACACAAATACCACCAGGGACTAAGAAATGCAGCTGGAGATATATTAGTGAGCAGACACCGTTTGTTTATCTCAGAGCAGGTGAAAAGCTGCACCGACTGCTGATACTTTAATTCCATTATGTGAATGAAACTCCATGTTTCCTGGCTGAGATGCGTATTTGTGTGTGGCAGAGACCACAAGTTGCTTTGCTAAGAACCAGTCTCCCCTTCTTCCTTCCTAACAGAACACTCGTTCATTACAGGTGGCAAAGTGCCCAACTAAAAGACTACATTTCCCAGACTTCCTTGCAGCCAAGTGTGGCTATGAAATCACTGGGTGGAGCTTCCGGGAAAGGCTCTTTAAAGGGGCTAATGCAACTGAAAGCTTATTCTTCTCCCACTCCCCTCTCCTTCCTGCCTGGAACAGTTATAACTAGAAGGCACTTAAAAATAAATCCTGTTACATCACTGAAGGTGCCATGCCATGTTAAATATTTTCTGCATTTTACACACGTCTAAGTTATTAAACTCATAAT